TTCATCGTACGTTCGATATAATTTGATTTGTAAATTGGTAAATATTTAAAATTAGGATTCTTGCTTCTTATTTGTACAAATTGGTCAGAAGCAATCTAAGTATATAGTTTTTAAAGGCAATAATGAAACGATATTTTTGTGAGACTCTTCCCCTAAGTTAGAGTACAATTCGTCAAATATTTTGATACGATTTAATTATTATTTACCACTTAATTTGTGACTCTTATTCCATAATAAACCCTTCTATCAAGGACAAGTTCCTTTTATAAATTGAACGTACTTTCATAAACAGGTAAACAAGTAGAATATTTATTTAATTTAAGTCATGTATTGGAACGTGCTTATGTTTGGTAACAATAAGGACAAATGTAGAGATATAACTTTGCATTTTCTAAGCCAGATAGTCCAATAATAACAGTGAACGTCATTTAAAGCTACCAATTAGTACATATCACTCTATAAACAGAAATTTTATGAATTTACTTTTAGCTACTATTTTTTTAATTTTCATAAAACAAAGGTAAATTGTAACACTGTTACGTAACGTATCGGAACGCCTACTTTCTTCATTGCTATTGAAAATTTGAAACATGAGAGTAAGTCCGTTATTACCCAGTTTTTAAACAGTTTCTCCAAACATGCTGCACTTTTGTCAAACGTTTAATGAGACGGTATAATTGAGGAAAGTTACGCCTAAGACGTGCCAGTTTGTAAATGCAGAACGTTCAAGTGAACCAGAAGAGGCCGCGGCGGGTAAAAAAAGGGAGAGGAGCCAAATTACCCGACACAAAATGTATTATCTTCACTTGATAGGCCCCACACCCTCGAGCCAGTGATTCTCAGACGTGAATCTTCCCGTGAACGAATTTAAAAGTAATAGGTTTCCGGCAAGGAAAGAAGGAATATTGAGAAACACTACTTTTGGTCCTCGGCTTTCTTTTCTCCCCCTTGGATCCACGACGTATCAGCGCTGCTCCTTCTACCAGAGTGGTAAATTTATTCGAACAAATTCTGTAATTACTTCTCCGACCCGGATGTCACGCGAGCCTAGATTTATGGAGGCGATTCAGTCATTTCAGCAATTTTATACCGTCCAATTAACCGAGCCTCGTGCAGGTTTCTTCAGGTGACCCGGGCCCCGCTCTAAATTCGCGTCAAACTTGGTGGAAGTTGGGGTAAAATTGCGAGGGGAAGACGGGAATATGAAGTTTAGAAGAAATTGTTAAACACTGAGTTATGCATGTGATGTCAGAGAGTTTATTGTCGAATAATCAGATATAAACAAGGGGTAAATATGATTCTGGTCACTTGTAACGACATATAAATGCACAATCGTGGTTATTGCCATTTACAATCATGACTAAACGCGATTATTGTTACTTTTAATGATATACAAACTTAAATTATATTATAATTGCATTCAATCACGAATAAACACGATTATCATCACTTATTGTCACATACAGACACGCAAACTCTGTCACTGTTGCATACAATCACGTACAAACAAGAAGAAACAAGATTATTGTCACTTATAGTCATATAGAGGCACATAAAGTCTGTCATTGTTGCATAGAATCACGTACAAACAAGAATGAACACGATTATTGTCACTTATAATCACATACAGACACACAAACATTCTTGCATTCAGTCACACATAAGAAGATACTAGATTATACATAGACACACAAACTCTGTAATTAATAAATTTCTATACACTTGCAACGACTATATAGTTTTTACCTTACAATGAATAACGTCTTCACACGTTTCAACAACAATGGAATACTTGCTGAAAATCTTTTGCAGATTGATATTTCTTTACTGTGCACATCAAGTGAACAAATTACAAATATTATGGATATTCTTTTCTTAGTTTGAAACTCCATGTCACCAACGTTATTCAAAACTTTCACCGCGGTTGCACTTTTGGTAGCTGGGTGAGCGTTTAACGAATTCCAGTGGATGAGTTACGCCATAAATTGTTCGAAAAGGAAGGAACAGGACAGGGTGAAAATCACCGAGAAATGGCCGGTGTCTCTGTATTTGCAAGTTGGTATGCTGAAATCTATCCCGATGGCGGAGTAGTCGGCGCATCCTTTTCGGGCGAGACGTCGACGTCTGGCAAGGAAGCTATCTTGACGTGCAGACATTTAATCGCAGGTGCGTCACGTATCGCGAAGAAACACCTCACTTTGATGTGGAAGCTGCCTGGAACTCGCACTTAACCTGCTCTAGTTTTTATTGGAGCGTAAAGTACGAGGAAATCCATGGTCTCTCCCTCAGGAGACCGTCGATACTCACTAGCGACTGGTCTAAATACCTGATCCCCGTCTCGTCAGGTTTAGCGTTCTTGGTAATTTTCTACACCTGGTTATCACTTGTCTTCGAAGGAATACGTGTTTAAAGAACATGTTGTTTTCGTCGGTTTTTGCGCCCGTGTCGCTGGTCTGCTGTTTTCAAGACCATTAATTAACAGCAGGGCTCGAGGATGTCTTGCAAAGTACTTTATTACACGTCGCGGCAGAAACGCGGGACATCTGTTTCAAAATAGTGCCGCGAAACTATTAAATCACAGTAATAATTTATTATTCGATGAAACTCTTTCCTTGCGTCTTCTTTGTTTGTACAAACTTGATTAATCACAGTGATATTTTCCTACGACGCTATTTAGCAAGCTAGTGGAAGATTTAACACTGCTTCTACCAAAGCTGTCAAAAGACACTATTCACAATTTTAACTTGAAATTATTTTCCAAGTTTAATCAACCTTCCTCGATCGACTTTTTAACTGTATAACAATATTTCCTCGTTCTACTCGATGTAATGCTTTTTTGTACATTTTCTGGCCTGACTAGAACTTACACTTGCATTTCTTTTCCTGCTCGTAGGGGAATCGCAGGAACAAGCTTAGGTGATGTTTTGTAGAGCTTTCGTTAGCAATTCTGTAGAGAACTCAGCTTGTACAATAATATCTTTTAAACTTAATGCAGATGCCATTGAACTTGATATTGAATCTTCAACTAGATTATTTGTTCTCTTTTTGTGTATTTCAAACATATCCTATGAAGTAGTTAAATTAATATTTTAGGTAGTTGAATTAATAATGCATTTGTAAAATATGTTTATAAGTTGTCAATTTCAAAACATAGCAGAAATAAAAAATGCAGTAGTTAAAGTGTGCAATGAAAACTTATCGACAGCATGCCAAGTCATATTTTTCAAATAATAACAAATAAAGGTCTTACCAATCAAGATATACATACCTCAATTATATATATTATTTTTATTATTTTACATTTATCATTATAGTACTATAATTAAGCAACAATAAAATATCATTTTTGTAATGATAATCTACTCGTAGTTACATGTAATTTTAACAGAGTTTTAATAAAGATCATTTTCTATCATTTGAGCTCGTATAATTGATATTGTTGCTATTCAAGGATCTGAAACATTAAAAAAATGTTAACGAAACTATGTTTCGAAAGTGTATAGCCATAAATCGATCACCAATTCTTTCAAAGGGAACAATCATGTATAATATCATTTAGAATATATTAAAAAATCATCCAGATCAACGAGAAAGTACCTTTTCTAGATCTTTTCTAGAATTGTTTACATAGACTAAATTTAAGTCTGTCGAAACGACACAAGTTTTCAACCCTTGCGCCCAATCAATTCCTCCACATTACAACAACAAACAATTAAAAAGATTCGAAAAGACAATTACATCGAGTATTCGCGTGAAAAAAAGATCGCCCATTCGCGTTTAAGTCCCCTCGATGGGTCCAGTTTAAACAAAACCATCGCTCGCGTGCAAGCGAGTCGGTCGAATCGTTAAAGTCTCCGGGTGCGAGGGGTCGATTCGCGGACGATTTGGTTAAATAATCTCGTGTCGATCGTCGGAATAAACGGAGAAGAGACGAAACGTCGTCTTGGAGCGATCGCGGCGCGCGCCGGAATGACAGCCTTGTGGCGTCGCCGTAACGGCGCCACCGTCTTTGGCCGGCGAGATGGGCGGTGGCGTCGCGCGAGGACGTCGACGACGATTGGCTGGAGGGGTGGCGGCGGATTGGCGGAGAATCAGGGATGGGCGAGGCGAACGCGGCGGGCTGTTCGAGGCGCTGCGTCCGTGGCGGTCACGCCCACCGAGAACATCGAGCCCGTCCCCGTTGGGACTCGCTGGCACGCCGCTCGTGCCGGCCCTGACACATTCGACAAGCGGCGCCGTAACGGGAAGCAACGCGCGGCTGGGGACCTTGAAGGACCTCTCTTCTGGTCACGAGACACCCTCCCGACACTTTCGTGCCGACGATATACGCACCACGCCACCGTCGCCCGCTGCTCAGATTACCGTTGCACTGCGCGCGTATCCAACTCGATTACTTCATCCCAAGTGGATCCTTCGAGGATCTCGGAGGACTCGTCGCCGCGGACACACGCTTGGGATCGAGGAAAGAAACGAAGATCCCGAGATTACCCGGCGAGCTAGGTCCACGGCGTCTAGATGCCGCGCGCAAACACCGAGTGACGGACCGGCAGAGAGTGATCACGGGTGTCAGTGACGTCGATACAGGGGGGAAAACGAATCGAATAGCAGTATAAATATATTTAAGAAAACAAGTGAACGGGGTCAGTGGAAACGCGTAGGAGACGAGAGCGATCCGAGTGTCGGTGATACGTCGCGGGGGCTCGTTCGGGGGTGGACACGCGTGTGCGCCGACACGCGGTCGGCCGCTAAGTTAATGGTGTGACGGGGTAGCAGGTTGCACCTGTTACGGGGCCGTTTAATGCGTAGTCACGAGGCGTCCATGTCGAAGGACTTGATCGATTTGACTCGCTCGTGAACAATCGTGGCGCTGGTGGGGATCGTTCTGACCGAGAGGTGATCTCTCTCGTTCGGGTGCGCACGGCTCGCTCGAGGAGCCGAGGAAGGTTCTCACCGCGGTTGGTATCGAGAAGCAGAAAGCCTGTTGCCCCAGGAGAGTCCGTACGGCCTCACGACGCGGTCCGACGAGTGGAGCGGTCTCCTGCCCAGCTCCACGATCGTGGGTGCTGGGGGGTCGCCATGGCTCGGACTCGGCGCAGGAGGTGGCACGGGCACCACCACCGGGGGCGGAAGCCCCGTCGAACTCGAGGGTCACTGGGGACGTAAGCTCTACGGGGCGAGCGTAGCTCCGCCACCGCCGCCGCCTCATCACCACCCGCGGGCGCCGCTCGTTTTCGCGCCTCAGGACATGCGGCAGATACTCAAAGAGGAACCCGTGCCACGTGCTTGGCCCCAGCCCGCGCTCGCCGATAACGGAACGTGAGTACCACCACATTTTATCACCTGCGATACCCGTTGCTTTTACGGGACACTTGCGACCCCCGAAACTCCAATTCGCGCTCGTTCGCTTTGGATCGTTCATCCTTGGAGAGAATCGACGATGAAAAGTGTTTAAGTCGAATTTACACCACTTTGGCTGATTCATCCTCGGATGAAGCATGAAAAGTCCAGTATTAGAGTCGAATTTACGTTTCTAACTCTGGACAAGAAGTCCATTATTTAAGTCAAATTTACACCCCTTCGTCTAAGTGAAAATCGAGGATGAAAAGTGTTTAAGTCGAATTTACACCTTTTCACTTTGGCTGATTCATCCTCGGATGAAGCATGAAGAGTCCAGTATTAGAGTCGAATTTACGTTTCTAACTCTGGACGAGAGGTCCACTGTTTAAGTCGAATTTACACCCCTTCGTCTAAGTGAAAATCGAGGATGAAAAGTGTTTAAGTCGAATTTACACCTTTTCACTTTGGCTGATTCATCCACGGATGAAGCATGAAAAGTCCAGTATTAGAGTCGAATTTACACCCCTTCGCTTAGGATCATTCATCCTCAGTGAAAATCAAGGATGAAAAGTGTTTGAGTCGAATTTGCACTTTGGATGATCTTCGGTGGAGGTGAAGGATGAGGGGTGTAGTATTTAACCAGTGAGCTGTGTTTGACGACTGTATCCGTCGTGCGTAAAGTTAGCTACCATTTACTATACAAATTGTAATTTTAGCGAAAATTAAATTATATTCGTTAATTTCAATACGTTTAGAATCTTTGGAGGTAAAAACGAAATAAAACAAACAGGTGCGCGCTCTGCAAAGAGGTCGCCACAGCTGACTGGTCAAGTCGAATTTGCACCCCTTCGCTTTGGATGATTCATCCTCGGTAAAGATCAACGATTAAAAGTCGAATTCACGCCTCTTCACTTTGAATGATCCTCGCGTATGATCCACTCTCAGTGAAGATCAAAATGAGAGATGTAGTATTTAATCCTTTACCATAGAATGACGAGTCTGACTCGTTACAAGTTTTTAACGTCAAGTTTTACTATCATGAGACTATTCACTCGTCATCAAGACTCATATATTGCAATCAGCATATTTTTACATTCGTACAACAAATCGACTCTTTTTCGTGGCCATCCCTTGCACGAACAAATTTAAACAAAATTAAATAGTATATGTTTGAACAATTATTTGAAATTGAACCATACGTCAAGGGGTTGAGTCTAGTAGGGAAAGGTCTAGTATTTTATTCGAATTTACACCTCTTGGATGATCCCTCGGTGAAGTTGAAAGGCGAAAGATGTAGTATTTAAAGTCGAATTACACCCCTTTGCCCTGGATGATTTATCCTGAGATCAAAGATGAAAGGTCTAGTATTTTATTCGAATTTACACCTCTTCGATGATCCCTCGGTGAAGTTGAAAGACGAAAGATGTAGCATTTAAACTCGAATTACACCCCTTTGCTTGGGATGATTCATCCTCGGTAATGATGAAGGATGAGAGGTGCAGTATTTACACCTGTTCAACGTAAAAAGAATGACACCGTCCTGATTGGACGCTTGGGAAACCTCTGTCGATCGACAGCTATATCTCGATAATGAACGAAGAGACGTTCGCTTGTCATCGGTCGCGTTTACATTTGTCACGCTTCGCCGTGGAGGAGTCGTCCGTTTTCAGTGTTCGTCGCGGAGGAAATACAGATGAAACGGTACTTACGCCTGTCACTGAGAACGAATTACCCAGCGATGATCTTCCAAAGTGTCTAGATTTGCCTTAGTCGATTGTACGGACGATTCATCAACAGCGAACGCAAAATACTTTTTACTTTCCAAAATATCGAGAAAGTAGCGAATGTCTGAATTGATGGAGTATCGCAAAATATTAGAAAAAAAACGTTTAATCTCTAATATGAAAGACTGATACTTTCATGACACCAAATTTTCCTGGAAAACTTAAACTTAAGTAACCCAAAGTAACCCTAAATTATCTAATCGTGTTTCCCCACTCAAGTGCTCTTTGCAGAATGTTTGCAGCGTAACAGTCGCGATTCCCGAAGTTTGTAATGCGATTTATGAAGTTCTGGCGAAAATTAATTTTCAATCGTTCAAAGTAAAAAGGTACAAATGCGACGGTACACCTGTTCGACGGTTGCACAGATAATTCATGATTCGTAATAAACATGTTAGTTTTCGCTCCAAACTGTAGGAATGGTTTTTATTCTCGTTTTTATATCATCAACCCTTTCGGTACCAAACTGTTTAACACGTACGACGAACGGTGCAGTGAAAACTTTTTATTTTACGTAGTCAAACAGGGTGAAGTGTTTAGACTCTAAAATCTTGGTCCTTCAAACAAATATACGATATTTGAGTACACAGAAAATATGAAAGTAATGTTTCTTCGTTTCATGATTTCAATCAACGTACTGAATTACTAAAATTCTCTAAAAATATCCTTCTTAGCCCTCGAACGTCGAACAGGGTGGTCCATTTTGGCCCAAATCTAAATTTCGTTATTTCACATTCCAGTACAAGGTTTTCGATTTATTTTACATTTATATTTGTAAATTCATTATACGCCATTGTCGTTTATTTTTACAAGTTCGTTCAAAATAATGATTCATTAAAACTTAAACGTTTATAATCGTATTTCTGCGTCCAGATACATTTTTTAAACAATGTACACCTGATTCGTAATTGATATAACAGCGTGTATAATTCAACTACCGAAGTACTATTTAAATATGCAAGTTTGAAATATTTAAGTAGAAGAATATGACCAAAGTCAGACCACTCTTCCTATCTATGTAGGGCACTTGCAATAAACGAACCCTAACACTTGTAAATTTTTTAGTAAATATAGGAATACTACGCAATTGTACTCCACTGAAATTTCGAATATTTTTATTCGTTAAAATTGAAAAAACTCTTGCAGTTAATATCGTCAGATTCAGAACGATGATTAATCACCTTCTGCGGTTGTTTTTGCAATTATAAGCTTGGTTTATATTGTTTATCTCGTTCCAGCGATCTCGAGTGTATCGTAATTTTTCACAATACTTAATTTCTTGTTCGAAAAGAAGGGAGAAAATGGAGCCACCGTAGTCGCGGCAACACTCTTCGCGAAGCGACGGGAAACGGTTGTAGAAATTAACTTCAATCTTCCTCTGTTCGTTCTGCTGTTCGACAATAATAAACTTCGCTTAGGAAACGTAATAGTTTAAAACGAAATTTTAAAAATAACGCAAACTATCGTGACACATGGATAAAATCGAGATGAAAGTTTAATAACTTCCTGTCTCGCAGACCGTCGGACATCTGCAACCTATTCCGAGCTTATGTTCTTTTAGAAATCCTATTAAAAACATTGGCAAATAATATTTATTAATTCGTGAGATATTTTCAAAAGAGTCGACTGTGTTTTTTTGCACTTAAAAAAAAAATCATAGCCACTATTTGGGGATGTAAAATCGATTATAAAGTTTGTGTATTTATGTCACAAAAGAGTGAAAGAAATAATAGCGACGAACATTTATAAACGAAATTTGTTTCTTGCATTTTTAAGAAACGATAAAGATTTCCAGAGAATGTAAAATTATTTGCAAAATTTCTGTATTTATGTGGGGGTTTCTTTTTAAATAAAATTTGAGGGAAAAGCTATTTATAAACGAAATTTGGAAAACACGAGAGTTTCGAAAGAGTCGACTGTGTTTCTTGCATTTTTCAGAGATCATACAAATTTCTGATGAACGTAAAGTCATTTCTAAAGTTTGTATATGTATGTGGACATTTTCTAAAAATCTTATTAAAACAAATGAAAGTGACAAATATTTATAAACAAAATTCGGAAGATACGAGAGTTTCGAAGGGGTTTTTTGGGCTTTGAAGACATTTAGAGAAATGTCTTGAGAACGTATAATCATTTGTGAAGTTTGTGTGTTTATGTTGGCTGCGAGGAGGATTTAAAAATTGTTTTACACATTCCTTTCGTCGTCGTTCGATCCGCGAACAGGCTGAACTTATGTTGTATCAGCGGTGAGCGACGATAACTCCGTACTTCGTGCGGCAAGAACAAATGTCCAGTTTATCTTTGGAAGCCGAGCATTTCAAAACGATTCACACGTACATGCATTTGCCGAACGATAAACCGTGTTTTATTGCAACCTCGCTTAAGGGATTTGTACGACGTGCAAACGACGAAGGTACAGATACGCGGACTCGAGAAGGTAAACCGACCGGGTTGGGGATGCGCTAATCCAATAGCAGTTCTCTTAACTAACCCCTTCCAAGTAGCGTGACACGAGAACCGGCGACCGGAATCGAGTTAATGTAATTGAGAATTTTAGCGCCTTTTGCGCTCCTGTCTTTCCCCACGTTCCCTCTTTTACTCGATTGTTTTCCGTTCGCGACGCTATGGCTTTTCATTTGCGTTCGGGGAAAAAAGCTAAAAACGTGGAAGAAAGTACCCCCGATCGGTTCCCCCTCGCGTAACTTTCTCAAACCTCGCGGTAAAATTAGTTTCTCAACGACTATTCTTAAGACTGTTATCTGAAAACCTAGTTTGGCAGAATTCACGGAAAAAATTACAGTGCAAGGTATTTTTACGAGAGAGAAATGGTGGATTAGGAAAAGTCCAAAGTTGGACCCCCAATTTACTTGTTTCATTTATGTAATGTTAACGTTGGAATTCATTTTTAAATGGCAGACGATTCTTAGATATATTATTTAAAGCATAGTTTGGCAGAATTCATGAAAAAAATTACAGTGCAAAGTATTTTCATGTAGGAGAAGTAGTGGATTAAGAAGAGTGCTCCAAAGTTGGACCCCCAATTTACTTGTTTCATTTCTTTAATTTTAACGTTGGAATTCATTTTTAAATGACAAACGATTCTTAAGACTGTTATCTAAAAGCCTAGTTTGGCAGAATTCACGAAAAAAATTACAGTGCAAAGTAATTTCATGTAAGAGAAGTGTGGATTAGGAAGAG